ACGCATGCACAAACCCTCGCACACAGACACACACACACACATACTCACACACACACACGCATGCGCGCACACACACACACACGCACACACACGCACACACACGTATACACACACCCTCGCACACACTCACACACACGCACACGCACGCGCACACAGACATTTACACACACACACGCACATGAACGCACACACACACACACACACACACGCACCCACGCTCGCACGCGCACGCGCACAAACACACACAGACACACACACACGCATACATATGCACACAGACACACACAGACAGACACACACACACACACACTCGCACACACTCACACACACGCACGCGCACACATACACTCACACACACATGCATACATACGCACACACACCCTCACACACACTCACACACACGCACGCGTATGCGCACACACACACACGCACGCACACACCCACGCTCGCACGCGCACGTGCACACACACACACGCACACACACGCACACACACGCATACATACGCATACATACGCACACACATACCCTCACACACACTCACGCACACGGACGCGTACGCACACACACACACACACTTACACACACACACACGCACGCATGCACGCACACACACACATACACACTCACACACACACACGCATACACGCGCGCACACACACACACTCGCACACACTCACACACGCGCACGCGCACACACACACTCACACACACACGCATACATACGCACACACACACCCTCACACACACTCACACACACACACACACACGCGTGCACGTACATACAAAAACACTTACACTCACACACGCACGCACGCATACACACACACTCACACACACGCACACACGCCCACACACACTCGCACATACATACAAATACGTGCACACACACACTCTCTCTCTAACGCTCTCTCACACACACACACACATACACACACACACGCACGTACCTCCTGTAGTGCAACCATTCGCTTTGGTCCATCCTCGCTTGGTGCCTCCGATGCTTGGAGCACGCGTAGCATGTGCATTCGCACATCGTGCTTCACAATTTGAGGGATATGATCCCTCTTGTTGCTTGCACGGTACGCTCGCTTCACGAGAGGTTGATGGAGATACTCGTACATGTTGGCGCTATAATGCATCGGCACCCCCGATTGAATGATGTCCTCCACCACGTGTGCCAATGAATGCACTTTGGTGATGTCGAACTCAGACTTCTGAAGGCCTGCAAAGACTTCCTTCAAGAGCGGAATCAACCTGTTGGTGGGTATGGCACACATGAAGAACATTGAAGAGACAAAACTCAATGGGCGCGAAAAAATTAGTAACACAAGACGTCGCAACACATTGGCAAGCATGGAATGCAAGGTATGAGAGACATCGAACAAGAAAGAGAACAAAATGGAAGAAAAAAACAACACAAGCAACCATGCACGGTTGAGAAAGATGCTTACCTCTTGATGGCCTCATCAAGCTCTTGTAGCGTCTTCGAGGTATGATGCCAACGCCGGGCTGCGAGCATGTAGCAATCCACGAATGCTGCCACCGCACCAACCACCGAGTTCGGCACGCCGCAATTTGCAAGCACGATCGTGATCACTTGCATCACCGCGCGATGCTCAAACGCCTGAAACCGTGCAGCACCCGCAAAGTAACCACCCTTCTCGGAAGATGGGATACGGAAACCCGAGATTCGGGTGTCGGTCGCAATGCGCTGCAACTCGGTGTCGAGGGAACGCAGAAATTCGCGATCTCGTGCGTAATACGCTCGAATGCAGGAAACGATGTGCAAGAAGACACCAAGGTCCATCGCGTGCATCACCTCGACAAGTAAGGCTCGGTATGGATTGCCGACAGGGGTACGTCCGCCTCTGAAGCCCCACAAGGCTACCTGCGCGGGGGCGAGTAAGTGAAAAACTGTTAGCACACACTTAATTTAACCCACACAACCAAGACAGAGAAACGCATGCACGCAGATTCTTAGAAGAACGACGCACGAACTAAGGAGGCACGAACAGACGCGCGTACACACACAAATATGCACGCAAAACGTATGGACGCACTCGCAAACCATACGTACCTTGATGGGATGGGTGCTGATTGATTTTGATGCCTTGTTGCGCTCGTGCCCACTCGGCAACGCCAACAACGCCTCAACTTTATCGCCCTGATCGACTTCCGTGCGATATTCGGCCACCGCCTCCATGTTGCTTATGTCTTCACGTTTCACGAGACACCTGTGGCACGGGAACATCGCCTTGTGACTTGCAAACGTCCCCGCCAGCTTGCACGCTTCCGGGTGATCGGCCACATATGCGTAGACAGCGGGAAATACCACTTGCGTCTGCCCAAAAGGGTCTTCTATTACAATGCCACTATGTAGGTAGAAAAGGGTGATGAACATAGGAAAGATACAATTATAAGGGGAGGGGAAGTGGATTTGCGCATGAGGTGAGCATGAAAAATCTCATCGTAGCGATAAAGCATACTTGCAACACACACACCCACACCCAGTAGAATGAAGAGCACTCACCCGCACACTCAATAGACACTCACTCCTAAGATGCCTCTTTGAGCTCTTTGAGAACCACATCCAAAGCCAGTTGGAATACCTCCCGATGAAGCGCCTTCCCCTCGTCCGTCCTCGAGTCCACGTTTGGAAGTGGCGGAAGCATAGCAACCATCCGATGCCCGTGTGGTTGCCAACGATTCTTGAGCATGACGTTTCCAAGTGTGAAATATACCGGATGTCCCGTAACACGCCCATCGTTGCTCAAGTTTGTCCCGTCGCTGTACAGGATGCACGCTGCAATTACACCACCCCTCGGGCATTCTTCTTGCATCTTAATCCATCCATCTCCCGTCTCGGGCCCTGCGTATATCCGCTGCTTCTTGTCGGACGTGTAGACTGCTGCCGGTTTCACCACAAAGTCGTCTCTGTTCGCGTTGTCCGAATACATCGCCACCAATGCTTCGACTATGGAGGTTACGTGCACAGTAACTTTCATGCCGTTGCTCAACTCCACCTCGACAGCTCTCCATTCCACCGTGCCCGTAGCCTCAGCCAGTGATGACTTTTCGTACTTCGCCAAGCCAGCACTGTTCTTGTATGATGGCTTCATGTAACCGGCCTCGTGCAAAACGCTCAGTAGAGTATTAATGTCAGTTGCCGACATCCCCATGCCTCCATTAAAACCTCGAATCGCCTTCGCCAAAGCCAGGTCTGTGTCAAATGGGAGCTTCTGTGGACTAAGATCTGCCGTTGCATCCGTTGTTGAGAATTCTATGTCATCACCGTCGCCGTCGCTGTCATTCGACGTCGGAAAGTCAAACGGGGGAGGGTTCACACTGGTTTGTGCAGATGCTGCTCCGCTAGTGGTCAAAGGCGGACTTGCTGCGGCACGCGGAGCAGCTCGTGCACGCAGCAGCCGGTTCACGTCATTAGCTCGTTTGCGCTTCAAACCCTCTAGAATCCGTACATTTGCACTCTCTGACGCAGTTGGGCGCTTTCTACTAAACGGTTTGTGATTAATCAAGCCCTGTCCAGTAGTGCAGGTGAATCCACAGGCACATGTAAACTCCATTATCAATAGAGTGGATACAAGGATCTATTGCACCCTGTGGTGCAAGCTTGGAGAAGAACTATGGTGTTCTAAGCTTAATGGTGAAGAATAACAAGCATGGTCTAAAATATATGCAATGTCTTCAACAACATCCCCTGGACCTGCATGCAAAGACCACAGAGCACAAACGGTCATGGCCCTCAGTGGCAAGAGGGGGCAAATCTGTGGCTCTAAAACGAACATGGCAAAAAAGAAGCAAAAAAACACTAAAAACGGTACCGACCTCACTAATCCCTCAAGCCGCGGCACTTTCGCGCAATATACCACGCGTCGGCACGCGGCGCATCCGATGGTGCGGCGACGAAGTCGCTATTTCTGTCGGGGCGACCCTAAAACTAATGTAGAAACCAAAACGGCGCTGATTTCGCGGCCCGTGGATCTTCAACAGCGAGACGCAAACAAATTGTACGCCTTGTCGGCACGCCGCTCATGCACTGGTGTGTCGTCGAAGTCGCGTTTCGGGCTTTGGCGTCCTTAAAACTAATGTACATCCAAAAAATTGAGCTCGAGTCGCGCCCTACGATCTACCCTGAGCTGGACGAGCACCCGTCTGGCATGCGGTACGAGGCAAAGAATGCATGGCGAGGCGTCATTTCCTTAAAAAAAAAAACCGCCGAACTCGGGTAAACCGGGCGGTTCCGGCGAGTTAGCGGGTTCTAGGGAGGCGCCATGGCGGGCTACTTATACACCAGCTCTACGAGAATAATGTGCACTTCGAGTGAGGAGGGAAATGGAGGGGCTGGAGGGGAACGACCGCATGATGCGGGCACCGATAAAAAGTGCGCAAAAACGTTCTCAACCGCGTACCACACCCTTCGCCCCTAACTGCAACGACGACAAAGCAAAAAGTTACGTGCCGTATTCGCACGTAACAGGGTGTGCGACTCCGTCAACATTCTGGTCCAGCTGGATTTTTCGCGCGCTGAAAATGACCCGTCCGAAGGGCTCATTTACCTGGTTACCGCTACGGTCATTTGCCAACGGTAAGTGTTCTGGTAACCGGAGGCGTACGCGTCTACATTTCTTCATGGGAATGAGACAATGTGATTCCCAAAACTTACAAAAGATTCGCATACATTGACGTGTTCATTTTCAGTCTTCACCATTTTTTTTACAATATTAGTTCAGCGCGGAGTTCTATACACCACCGCACCGAATTTCACCGAGCGGTGTTCATCGACCCAACGGGATGAGTTTTGCACCGATTGCCCGCTAACTGTTCCGTGACTGCACAAATCGAAATTAGGGTAACTGCGGGAGATCGCAGGCAGCTCGGAAACAGAGGGCAATTAGAAAAAAACACCGCAAGCAAACTGCAGGGATGCGATATCGCCAAGCTTACCGCCGGCTGTTTCCCCGCGAACACCTGCAGAGTTGCGATGAAGCACCAACCCGCGATTGCGCACCAATCTGCACTTGCGCACCAATCCGCGCTTGCGCTCCGGGCGCAACGGCGGGGAGGAGGGAGGGCGACGACGGGGAGGAGGGAAAGGCGACGGCGCGGAGGAGGGAGAGGCGACGGCGCGGAGGAGGGAGAGGCGACGGCGCGGAGGAGGCGGAGGCGACGGCGCGGAGGAGGCAGTGGCGACGGCGCGGAGGAGGCAGAGGCAACGGCGCGGAGGAGGGAGAGGCGATGGCGCGGAGGAGGGAGAGGCAACGGCGCGGAGGAGGGAGAGGCAACGGTGGGGAGGAGGGAGAGGCGACGGTGGGGAGGTAAGGGAGAGGAGATGGCGGGGTGGGACGGAGTGATTGTGAGGTGGGAGGAAGGGGCGATGGTGGAGTGGGAGGGAGAGGTGACGGCGGAGAGTGAGGGAGAGGATACGGGGAATGGGAGGGAGAGCGACGGCTAGGTGGGAGGTAGCGACGGCGGGGTGTTAGGAGAAATGGCTAGAGAAGAAATTGGGGCGGGGAGGAAATGGAGTGAGCAAAGCAGGTGCTTCTCGAGAGGAACCAAGAACAAGAACCAAGAAATGAAAAGCCTCGAATTCGAGTTTGACAGCTGTGAAAGGGACAGATATCTTGGGCTTTGGTTGGGGTCGTGGTGGAGCTGGGATGTTCATACGGCGCGACTCGGCAAAAACCCCGCCCACGCCTTGGGATGCACGAGGCGCGGAGAAATCGCGGGAAGCGTGGGCCGAAGTCGGCCACCCAGAATCCCACCAGGTTTGGACCTAGCGCGGCCTTGCGTGGCTCAGTGAAACCCACCAGGCTGCCACCGAAAGCTCCGCAGCCCCCAAAAAACCTAAAGAACCCATCTCGTTCTTACGCGCCGATGCATGCGCGACTCGGTAGAAAACGAACACGATTGGTCGGTAACATTGACGAGCGGGACATCCCGCGCATGCAACCGCGGGACACCAAAGGAGTGCTACTATTGGTTGTGCTATCTCGCAACTTATCGCGAACAAAATTCGCACAAGGATGGGTACGGAAAGCGCACAGCGAGATCCGGTTCGGTTACAGCTGGCGGGATCTGGTAGGCTCCATGCTGGCTGACACGTGCAGCAATTTGAACGAGCCACACAGCTGTGGCTGTTTGGTCGATGCGCGATCACGATAACGTGTCAAGCACGTCCACGCAGTGTCCGGTCATTACTCCGAGCATGCCTACATTTTCCACTTTCCGATCGCCAGTTGCATACCAAGCTCTTCCCTCTCATGACACACTGGATTCACCTGACTTAGACGGAAAACGGGACACCAGTATCGCGGTTACGTTGTGTGCCGCGCTCGAATGTCCGCGAGCAAATCGGTCGCGAGGTAGACGGGTCTAAGTCACACCCAGGTGTACAAGTAGTGACTGCGCATCATGTTGACGCACGCGGTGAATAGGAGTAGGTGCAATCTCGCACGCCGCATGCATACCGTGAATCGCGTCGCGGCACCAATACTTCACGACTCCATCAATGCTCCGGGCAACACAACCGCGCATCAAATCCATAATGCCGAACCGCCTACCGCTCCCGTGCATGGGGTGAACGCGCTCAACCCCACATGGAGCACCCCATACGTGCAGCCCGTGGTTTTTGGGTCCCGGATGCCCGCGTTCCACCCACAGCAACTGGTCAACGGGCTCCACCTAGCACCGCGACCACAAATACCGTTTGCAGCAGCGGCGGTCGCGTTACAAAATCAACCGGGTAATGTTACCGCGCAAGGAGTTTCCACGACTCATCCCGTTGGACAACACATTGCGTCCCCGTCCGTGCCCACTAGCCAGCTCTTTGGGATGCCTGTGCGTGGCTTCGTAGGGCCGCAGTACTCGAACGTGGGATTCAGGTACGGGTACTTCGGCGTTAAACCAGACCCCATGGTGCACGCACCCGCATCTGTCGCGACGCCTCCTGTCGCGCCGTCAACACCATTCCCCAGCGCGATTCATCCGGAAAGCCAGCCAGCGGTGCAAGCCCCGCCAGACCCTAGAGAAGCATTAGTTGTCGGTTTGGACACACGGGCGCGAACAGACGGCCCATCATCGAACGCGGATGCCGGTGGTTTAGGGCGTGCGGTGAATGGTGGAGCGGGGATGAATGCGAGCGCGCGTGCACATTCGCCGCCAATATGGAACGTGAACTCACTGTTGCCCGGAAACCCCGACATCCACATCCGCACCCCCGCGCATCCGACTGTAGCGTACGCGACTGGTGTAGGTGGGCAACCACAGGCGAACGCGGGGCGTGGAGTGGGTGCAAGCGGAAACGCGGTAAGGGGAAGAGGGACGGGTGCGAGAGGGAACGCGGGAAGAGGGACAGGGGAGAGAGGGAGCACGGCTAGAGGGAGAGGTGCGAGACGAAGGGGTGGGAGAGCAAGCGCGGGACGTGGGACAGGTGTGGGATCGAACGAGTATAGTGCGAACGGGCAGGGAGCGCATGAGGTGACAGGTAACGGCGGCTCGGGTAGCGGTGTTAACGCGAACGGCGGGTCCGGTAACGGGCCAGTTAATAGACCGTGTATAAGGAGGCGGAGAGTCGATGTAGTGCCGCACACGGCACGCAACGTCTCCCGGGAGGGGAGCGAGGGGGCAAGCGATGAGGATGACAAGGACGACGCTGACGATGCGGACGATAGTTGGAATGGCGATGACGAAAACTACCTATCGAACTCGCTGTCCGGGCTCAACGAGGAGGAGGCGAAAGACAACGAACGGGTGCGGGGTACGCGGAGGGACATTGAGGTCCCTATCGCGGATTGGAACAGGCTAGGTGTGGACGACACACCGGCCGCGAAACGAGAGATGTGCTACGGAATCCTCTACGGTGTCTCTGAGGCCACGCTGAAGAAGTATCGCGGTTGGGCCAACGAGTACAAGCGGTTCATGGCTCACGAGCTGCCTAAACTGGACGCGGGTAGGTTTGGTGATGAGGCCGCGTTGAGAAACGCGGACCCCGACGAGATAGGGGCCGCGCTCGAACAGAACATGGGTGGTGACTGGAAGATGGCGGAGGGCGACGAGCAGTGGTTCCACGGCTCTGAGACGAATCCGTGGCGCTTACGCAAATACGTGACCTTCCTCGCGAACGAGACAGTCGCGCAGGCGGACAGGATGGCCACACTCAAGCGGCCAGAGAAGACCTTGAAGAAGAGACGCCAGTGCACCCCGGCAATGCTGATGGGGCGTCTCAAGGCTTTGAACCTGCTCATCAAGCTGGACAAGGCCATCTTCAGGAAGCCCGTTCTGAACCTGCTGCGCGACTTTGCGGAGTGTCGCATCTGGGTCCGCGTTCAAGTACGCAACCAGTACAAGCGGTTTATCGCGTAAGTATACGTTCTCAGTGAACGCATTTAATGCCCAACAATACCGCGTCCACTAACACCCGCACTATCGCCCCAATCGATGCGCAGGGAACACATGGATCGCCATCGAGGCACGGCCGCGGACACGTACACCCCGGACGAGTTCAACTATATGATGCGGAAGACCAGCATGGACGCGATCTTGACCAGCTTCACACTAGCCAAGAAAGCATACACGCAGGCAATGCATCGCGACCTCTGCATCCGGACGATGACCGTGCTCGGCCATCACACTCTGGCCCACGGATGCACGATCAGAAACCTGCAGCTGCCAGACATGATGATGTGGAAGCTCGGCGCAAAATCGGAGACCGATCGACTGAGGAATGCGTTCATGTTTGTTTGCGCGTGCAGGACGGGCAAGACAAACAAGGACTTCTCGCTCAACTACATATCTGCTATGAGGCACATAGATTGGACGTTGTGCGCGGTCGGAGCCACGCTGCTGTGGCTGCACTGGGTGTACGACTTGGTTCCCATCCTCTACAAGGACATAGCCCCCCCTCTCGACTTTACGGAACCCTCGACGTGGTACGATCAATACCTGTTCTTCCCCCTTCGCGCTGGCAATGAGAAGCAAATACCGCCCACGACTCATCACGACTGGGCGGCGAAGATTCTCCAGGATGCGGGAATCACATGCTCGCGTGCGGTACACGCGACCAGGGCTGGGGGGGCGCAGCACGTGTCCGCGGACGGAATGCCTTCGGATCAGCTGGCGAGGCTGGGGGGTTGGCGCTTCATCAACGTGATGACTAAGCACTACCTCACAACCATTCCGAGGGAGGCCGTGCTGCTGAAGGCGGGCTTCACCGGGGTTGACGGTGACTACTTCCTGGGTCGCGCAACTGTTCCGGTCAGCGATAAGCTGGATGAGCTACTGAGGAAGCACATTTTCCCATGGGCCGCCGCGGACAAAGAACAGCAACATGTATGTGTGGGCCGCGCATACGCGACCGCAAGCATCCCACATAACCCTCTGGCACCGCGTTCACTACCGCGTTGTTTTCTTGTCACAGTGCAAGGATTACAACCGCAAGATGGTGAAAAAGCAGAAGCCGGAGAAGCAGGACACCACGGGGCTAAACATAATGAAGGAGCTGGATGGTGACGCTAGGATGGCGGTCGCGCAAGACCTGGCAATGTATTACATCCACCAGCCGCGACACCCGTACGTGGTCAACAACCCGCTCTGCCAGACGGAGGAATTTGCGTCGTGGGCTGCAGATGTCTCATTGGCAAATCAACTCGCCATAGTACAGCGCAACACACCTACACTGACCCAGCCCGCAGTAAGTACTGCATGGTCGCGTTATCTTTCGGCTGTGATGTCAATGCCAAACCATAACAAGTTCGCGGTCGCTTTCTGTCCATGCAGGAGGTGAGTACCAGAATGGACGCGCAGAACCAAGTGACCATCCTCACTGAGTACCTGACTCGTTCACAAGCGGACAACACCAGACTGGGCCTAGAGTTGGTCGCGACTCATAACCGGGTGAAAGAGCTGGAGGGGCTGCTGGAGGATCGCGATCGGAAGCTGGCCGCGAAGGACGAGCGCGTGAATAATTTGGAGGCCCAGCTGTCGCGGCTCACCGTGAGCAGCTCAGGGCCGACCGCGGTTCCGAACTAGGCAACCAATCCTGGAGCCGCGGCCGCGCCGACCAATGCCACAACTCCCACCGAGCAGGGGACGCGGAAGAAACCCGCACCGCCCACCAGGGAACAGACGATTCGGGACGCGATCGTCCTTCCATGGGTCAACGCCACCAAACCGTCAGACGGATGGAAGCTGTACAAGACAACGCACCCGCTGATCCGCGAGAGTCCAGAGTCGCTTCTGGCCCAGCCCCGCGGTGCAGTTACGCGAATGGCCGCGCTCATTGGGGAGGAGGGAGGCGGTCAGAACGTGATAAACCGTGTCAAGCGACTCATGAACTTCATCGCCCACAGGGTGGAGCAAGGAGACGACATCGCGGTAGTGCTCGACAAGCTCGACCTCGTGTCAGGAGCTGTGGGCATGTCGGGTGTATCGGAAGGGATCGCGGTAAAGAAGAAGAGTGTTGACCTGGAACTGAGCCAGCTCAAGAAGGGTTCTCCGGTGGAGTTGCAGTTGCGTGTGAAATGGATGCTTGTTCGCGACCGTCTCATCAATGCCTCTCTTCCCGCGTCTGAGTTCACGGTCGCGTGGCCCCAGTACTGTGCGCTGATGCCAGACTTACAGTAAATGGATTGACCTCGCTTTTGTTCGTCTTGATATCACTGTCTTCGGGTGCGATGTTATGGGTCCCTATAATCGACCGCGAGTGTTGTTGTTTTGCGCGAAAATAGTGCTGATTTACATCGCGGCCGTGGTGATCGTGGGCTGCTGTTGCCTAATGTATATAGATTGTTTGCGTCGTAGTGTGTACAGTGATAATGTGTGGGAATACCTGAGTCGAATGCAGATTACTACTAAAATGGCACACGCGCAAACACACGCACCCACTGAATCCTACAAAAGATCACACACAAAGTACGTAAGTTAAGAACAGTCCACCGCGAGTATAACTCCAGCACATATTGTTCCAAATGTCAACACTATGTTCTCACGCGCGCGCGCACATACACACACACACACGATATACTACATGCACACAGATCCGCAAGCCCAGCACAATCCACCGCAAGTAGAACTCAAGCATGGCGGACAAGCTGTGCACATGCTACGCGATACTACACGCACTCAAGTCCGCTTCTTCACACGATCCTTGGGCAGGGCAAGGTACAAACCCAAGGAATCCATCTGCTTCCCTGCCACCGAGCAGTCGCACCAGGTGATGATAACGTCCACCGTTTCGCGGGCGGCCAACTCAATGTGCCTGAGATCGCGAGACTTTGCAACGACCTCGTTCACGACTCCAGACACGATCGCGGCGGCGACCGCCTTCGGGTCCGCGACAACTTGTGGCTCATCTTCCTCAGCCTGCTGATGTTCGCGGCAATTGCGCTTTCGCACCGCATTGATGACAAACGCGGATACTACGGGGAAGAGACGGCTTCGCTCTCCATAGCAACCAGCAGCTCGGGCGGCCAGATTTCCATTATCCGCTGCGGCAGTGACGTTAGAACCGCGAGTGACCTCCCACACCATTGCAATGGCGCATGCGATCGCTCCCGCGTAGTCCGTCGGCTCCACATCGCCGAGATCCGCTTCTTCTGCTGCAGCCTCCTTGCCTACCACCGCAGCCCATGCAATTACGTTGGTGGTGTGCATTCCAGGCTTGGTTAGCCCGCGATAGGAATCGAACATGCGTTGCCACCTGCCACGCAGTGGGTTGGAGCGGCCAGAACATGATAACATACCAAACCGTATGAACGCACTAGATGATGGTGGATTGGCACAGCTCACCTGTCCTTGCTTGCCACGAGGTTGCGGTAGTGCATGGTGATTAAGAGGCCCGTATGTAACCCCTCGGCGATGGACAGGTCCGCGGCCCATTCTCGGATCTGCTGCTGGCTCAGGTTCAGCCTGGGGTCGACCTTCCCGTCGTAGGGATACATTGCGATCGCGGTCTTGTACTGCAGGTCTTGGCGGTTGCCATGTCCGAGCCATCGCTTCTTCCCCCCCAGATGGGGTTCAGAAACCAATCCGGGCCCGCCCCTGGGTGGAGCGCGGATGCCGCAGCCCCTGCGCTTGGGGCCGGTGTCACCATGTCCTCCCGTTGTGCCACCTTCCACGACCACGGGGTCTCCGTCTTGCTCGTCCGCGCTCTCCCCGCCGCTATAAACATCGACCACGGCCTCCCCACCCTGCTCTCCTCCGTCGCCCGCCTCGACCCACCTGCTCACGAGACCCTCCAGCTCCTCATCTGCATCGTCCTCGTCGATCGTGTACACGGGTGGAGGGGGCAACTTCTTGCCACCCCGTCCGCGTTTCTCCGCCTTGACCTCGACCGAGGCCGCGATAGGACTTGCAGATGCCAGTGCGCTGTGCAGATTTCCCGTGGTGATTGCAGCACGAGCGGGTGCGAGCGTGGTCTGCCTGCCCTCTGCCGCAGCAGCCGCTGCGGACTGGACCTCACGCCTGGAGGCCAGCGAACCCGCAGCAGCCGGCGCCTCTCCATCCTCCGCCTTACCCTTGCCCCGACCCACAGTAGTTGTCACTGTTGCGGTTGCCCCGGCAGGGCCCGGTGGTTTGGGTGCAGCTTCTCCAGGTGGGATGGAGCACGAGCTCGAACCCGGTTGACCAGGCGGTGCTGCACCTCGCAATGTAGCGCCCCACTTCTGCTTCAGCATGTCCTGCACGCTCGGATTGCGCACCGCAGCCGCTGCCTGGGGACCTCTCTGCCTCTTCGCCCCCCGTTGATTCTCCGCCTTCGCACCCGTTGCCCGCTTTCCATGCTCTGCATCCCCGGGCTCGGCAATCTCCGTCGCGGCCGTTCCTTCATTATCCGTGCGCGGCGGGGGGCCTCCTCCAACGAGCGCGATGAGGGTGTGCAGCGCGTTCGTGACCCCGCTGGTGGTGACTGCCCGCTCTGCTGTCGCGGAGACCGCGGTCGACATGTTGTCGATCTTCCGCGCAACCTCGTCCGTCAGCTTCTTCTGAGCGGTTTCCATGGAGTCTGCCACCACCCCCTGCACCTGTCCCAGCCTCGCGTCCACTCGCCCCAGCACCAACGCCTCCTGGTTACGCGTATCGACCAGGGCCGCTCTTTCCTGCGCGATCGCCCTCGCCTCCTTCTCCAACACCCGAACCGCATTAGCAAGCGCGGACGCAAGCTCCTCAGAGCCCACGACCGCGACCCCACCAACCCCCGACTCCTGGCGTTTCTTCAGCCGTGCGTTCTCTTCGGCCTGCGCTGCAAGCCTGCATTCGAGCTGCAGGATCTCGGCAGCAAGCTTATGCGATGGCAACGAGGATAGGGACGCGTGATCACGCGCACCTGTCACGGGACTCTTGCCCGCGACCTCACCACTCGGGCCCGCGCTTCCAGCACCGGGGGCCAAGTGCTGCGCGAGGTGGTTGATGCTCTTGCCGGATGTAGTGGGCCTGCTGGATGCCGCGGCCGCTACCACGTGAGCCTCCGCCTCCTCCTCGCTCGACTCCTCCCCCTCACGCACAACAGTGCGGTCAGCCTCATCGCGGGTTGCACCCTTAGTCGCGGTATCCTCGGCCCCTTCGCCATTAGCGTGGACCACCGTCCCCCCCCCGAGCACCTCCGCGGTTCGAAACACCAGCGGCACCTGTGAGAGCGAGAACACCATGGTCAGCAACTTGCACACCCGTTGCCACTTTCTGCACCTTCCCCATTTCAGCACCTTCAGCCTCACCGCCGTGCTTGGGTCGCGTCAAATCCACGCTCAAGTTGAACGCGAGCTCTTCGGCGGTTTGGTACGCCTCATGCCGCAGTGCATTCAGAGTCTTCGCGGTTGGCCTCGAGAATTGCGGCCCGGATCCACTGGGAGCGACCGCGTCCAACTGGGCAAGGATCTTGTCGAACGCGAACAAACAAGCGAGATTGCCGCAGGAGCCCTTCAATGACGTCGCGTCCTGGAAAACATAACATGGGGTTTGTTAGCACCACTGCAACTATTCGCGGTCATCGAGAACACGTACACAACACAGACGTACCAGATCCAACAGACACTTGGGATCCTTAAGCTGGCGGGAGCGGGTGCACTGAATGGAGCCGCGTGCAAAATCCTCGTCAACGCGACCCTGAAACCACCTGCCCAAAAGCACATACATATCCACACGAACGCACGGTTAGCGACATGAGCCTCGGTGCGGAAATGAACGTGGTACTGATGATAAACCAGTACGCGGTACTCACTCCACAATCGCCTCCACCGCGGTGACGTGTTCCGCACCACCAGTGGGAATAGCAACGCGAACGAACCGCGTGTTCCAAGTCTCGTCACCGTCAAGCGACAGGTGGTCAGGGTGAAGCATAATGAGCATGCTCGCGTTCGAGCGCTTCTTGTCGATCAAGTCCCTGAACGTGCCATTGACGACCGCGCTAAACCACGTAAACGAGTGCATTCCCTGTACAAGTGAACACTCCCAATGAACACTCACTCGGACCAGATGCAGAAAACCACCAGGCTGCACTCCATCAAACCGGCAAAGGCTTGGACCGCTTCATCGCGACCCGCGACTATGTCCGCGACAACACCGCTCGTCACGATTCGGACGTGCTTGTGAAAATTTAGAAGAAAGAAGAGGGTTGCACTAGCAAGAATGAGGATACAAATAGCAAACCCTAGAAGGGTTGTACTCGCTATAGAGCACCCCACTACAGGCTAGAGCATAATATTCTGACACACCCCCATAGCCAAAGTGGGGTGTAATCAGCAGAGCAAGCAAAGCAGTACAAGCTCAGGGTGGATCACAATGTCACCACACATTCTGAGCACAAGTTCAAGAAGCAATAGTTTAAAGTTCACAATTATGAGCAAAGCTAGAGGCTACCGCAGAGGGCTAGTGTGGAGGAGGAGGGAATATGAGAGGAGAGGAGGTAGTGGGCGGCAGCTGAAGCTGCTGACACACGGCGCAACTGGAGCAACTGGCACACGGGCAACTGGAGCAACTGGCATACTGGCAACTGGAGCAACTGGCACACGGGCTACTGGAGTAATTGGCTCCGCGGCTAAAAGTAGCGGCAGACGATCAACGGACTCACGGGCGACTGGCGCAACGGGCTCACGGGCGACTGGCGCAACGGTCTCACGGGCGACTGGAGCTGCTGGCTTCTCGGCGGCCACCCCCTTCAACCTCCCCAAACTATCCCACCCCCATTTCACACACCCCCTACTGCACCCCTAGGGTCACTCACACCCCACCCCCTAGCACCACTCCGTCGACTCCCACACACCCACCCCCCTCAGCGGCAGCTGCAGCAGTGGGAGACAGAGGAGGAGGAGGAGCAGGGGAGACCACACACCCGCCACCCCCCACTCGCCACCCCCAAACCCGAACACAGGGCAGGGCGGGATGGTGGGTAGAGAGGTTACGGGGGGGGGGGGGCGACGTGCGGCCTCCCTGGGCGCCAAAGCAGGCGGCAGAAGGGGCGACGCTCGCCCCCTTCCCCCAGGTCGCCTCGACAGGCGACGGGAAAAGGTGGGGGGGGGGGGGGGGGGGGGGGGGGGGGGGGGGGGGGGGCGGTGCACGTGCCCCCGGTGCGCCGCGGCTGGCGACGAGGCATGGCCGGGGCGGGGCCAGGGCCGCAAGTGGCGGCGGCGGGG